GGGGTATCACTCTCTGACATACTCCCGCAATAAATCTGAGGCCAAAAGCCTCCATACAACGAAGAGGTGGACCCCCAGATCCAGTTTGGCTGGTGGCGACATTGCGAAATCTGGGATTGGCAAGCTTGATCGTGAAACAACCACACAAGATTCCTTTGACCCCGCCGAGCAGGGTTGTTCTACTAAAGACCCCAGGTTTGATTGTAAAGTTTAGAGATACAGGCATCTTTATGTTTTACCTATGCCGTAAGTGTGATGCTATATGAAAAGTGATTTTTGTTCATTGTCATGTAAGTAGCCCTGATAGAGCAAATGATGCAGATGGGCTTCTTTGTGTAACACAGCTCATTGGGTGGTACTGGAAAGGATCAATGCATGATAATACATACTATGATAATAGCTCATAAACTGACAGCTAATAGCCCCTTCCTCCAATTCGTCATTTTTGCCAAATACACTGCATGTGAACGATTCTCCTGCTCCAGCCGAGCATTTCCATCATTCAAGTTTCTCGATCCGAGCCGATTTGACTGAGCTACGGTGGAACAGCAAACATGAAAATTAATGAAAGACAGACCCTGCGAATGTCTCCGTCTTTCAAACTTTTGGACGCCCCCATTCAAAATTTTCAAATGAAGCGTGAGGTCTTTATTAGAAAAAGTTGATCAGCATGCTCGAGAGCACCCTGCTGACCAATTCTCAAGTTGGAGGTGGGCAACTTCCGGGTGATGGGCCGTCCGCTCGTTTTGTTCCCATCATCCACCATTTGGGCCGCCCCGCATTTTGAATCTTCACAATGAAGCCTGTAGTTTTTAATTGAATGAAGTTGATCGGCTTGTCCCAGCGAACCTTCTGACAAAGTTTCATGTTCGAGATGGGGAATCCCAAGGTAAGACGTACTATTTCGATAAATCATGAAACCGGCGCTGTCCTGCTTTCTGACCTCCATAATAAATCCCACATTGTACCCTCCAATTCCAGATTTTTAAATGAATACGAGGTCTTTTTTAATACAAAGTTGATCAGCATCACTAGGAGCGCCTTGTGTGAAAGTTTGAGGTTCGAGAGGGGCAATCTTAATATCAAAGTTTGAATGTACAGTGTGCATGCATTTATACAAGAGGTGTCCAACCCATTTAATTTCCACCTCTTCCACACCCACTTGTATTTGCCCTTCCTTCCATTCTCAACTGCTGCTCCATTCAAGTATACAACTACCACCTACGAACGATTGTCCTGCTTCAACCCATCATGTCATTCCTACAGTTGCCTTGATTCGATTGTCTTTGACTGAATGGCAAGTCCATGGCATGTACACAGCCTTCTTGCCACTCTACTACACACATGAGTCTCTTGACACAACACACGCTCTTGCACATTCCTCTACATACGATCAATCGTAACAGCATTCAATGCAGCATTGTTTTAGCGAGGTCTCTACTTCATTGTCTCAAGCAGCGTTCACAACCTTGTCACTCTACTACAACACACACTCTTGCGCACCCCTCTGCCACGACCAAACGTAATAGCAGTTGCCCTTAGCAAGCTCTTTACTCCATTGTCTCGATATACTTGCAGCAACGTGCCTTGCAGCTTTTTTTACGTGAATAAACAGATGATCATTGTATAGAAGCAGCGTCATTTACGTGCAGCAACTTGCTTTGATACACACGGATTACAATGGATGATACCATATCAGCTATTAAGTTCGCCTCAATACAAGCAGCTCTCGCCTGGATGAGCAGCGATGGGAGATGAATTAGAAAGGGATGGATCAACAGCCGGATGGAAAAGGTAACGTGCAGCGATCACATGGCTCTTTTCAACCAACATGTTGGAGTTGCAATGGTTATGGATGGATGGATGCAATCAAATGTTGTAATGAGAATCGGTGGTGATTGCTTGGCGCGTCATCAGCAGGGACTATGGATCATGTCATATCGATACGGCTGAGGATGGTGATGATGGATGGGATGGAATTGACAAAAGGACTTATATCTTTGGCGGATGGTGTTCGAATACTCAAGTCAATGATGCAGCAGCTATTTTGCAGTCATAGATGAAGGATGATTACGGCGGCGGCAACCAAGAATGCAATGACACAAATATCCCCGTTGCCTCTATATGATTCATCCGTTTCTTACTCGATTTTCAATGCTGCTCCCTTGTAATATTTACTTGATAGACACCCGCACTACTATATGCTTCTTTTATTGAATGAAAATTGGATTCAACATAATACTTGGGCATCATACTACCAATTCAAATGGGAAAGATATGGGTCACTTGGTTGCTTTATGGATTGAAAGGAGAATAGAAATGGGAGGTTGGAAAGCGAGGTATCATATATTTGGTGGGGTGTTACACAGTAGGTTACACAACTTGGTTCAGGAGTGGAGTTGCATAACTAATCGATCGATGTGATGCGCACAGACCTAATAGCTTAATTACGAGGGCTGTTCGCAATTGAAGTCATGAGCAGTGATCATTCTTATGGAGCTAAGAGTATAGGGTATTGTTGAGGGTATGCATAAACAGTAATAGCTGTAGCAAGCGGGACGGCATGGAGTGCACGAATTGGAGCGAACAGGAGGAACAAAGAGACCACTCTTCTTCACTTCCACTTCACAAAAAAAGGTAAGCTTGTCTCCATTTACAAACTACAACGCGTTAATTGCTGGCATTCCTTCCAATCTACAGCGTTCATTGGGGTGAACATGTGGTCAATGGCGACACTTTCCAGTTGCAGACATTCAACAACAAGTACTTGCGCAATCTGCCCATGACTCAAGCTTCCATTGCAATACAACATGTACGTTCCTTTATTATTCAAGTTGTGCGTTGAGATACTAAAGTATACGTGTAGTTTGCTGTCCTCTCGTTTATACAAGACCCAAAGGGGGCGTCGTGTGTCGTGTGTATTCTTTCCAAGGTTGACATCAAGTAGGGGTCCCAACACCATGTTACTTTGGGTATGTCGACATGAAAAGCGGATGCTATCGTTGTTACCTTACATTGCAGTTACTGTAGCTTGAATACATTGGATGATGGTACATGTGGCAGCAACAAGACACTGATTTTAAAGCAAGGACGCTGTACGTTGGCTCAATGGTACGCAGGGTATTGGATCTATTTACAATGTAAGACTTGTTAATTAACGAGCTTTACAATGAAACAGCAGCAGCACAATATGGATTGGATGGATGAGATGAGGCCATTTGAAGAAAGGATGTGCATGAGAAGTACCAAGGTAAAGGGATCATTCTGATATGGGTTTGATTCAAATGAACTTACAAAAACAGGTAGAGTGGCGGGCTCTTTTTCGTCAATATTACAATCATCAATCCACATGTCAAGGAAGCCAATGCAATACACCTTCTAGGGGAGGCGACTATGTTGTTCGTGGAAGTCGGCGGGATTCAAGGTGCATGCAAAGGTCGCATCCTTTGCCGTACGACGGGTTACCAGGAGAACGGCTATTCAATGCACATCCCTTATGACTGGATCATGTCAACAAGCAACAGCATCTATATTCTTTGGTGTCAGCAAGCTTTATTCCGTTGTCTGGCGGTGCTCGTTGCTAGGTATCAGCCAATCCTTTTAATGGACATCTGGCAACTCATGACTCTTGCAAATGGAGGATGACAACAAAAAGCAGCAAGTAATAACGTACATGTGCTTATCCGTCTCATGAGTGGAATACATTATCGTATACATCACATGAATAAAAATGGCCTATCCTATTCCTCATAATTCTATTTCATTGTAATACAAATAGCTTGAATAGAAGCATTGTAATAAAGACAACAATTACAAGATCCCACTATATTCTTCTTTTGGTTATCTTTTCGTCTATCTGAGACGAACATTGCACCCTGTACAGAATTATCGTGTATGTCGTTTATGCCCTGTCCCACAGGCCCTTTTTGTCACATCCATCATAATTAGCCCTCACCTCAATATACATATCCCATGTGTGACTCAATTATCTTCCTATCTATTCTTTGTGGATCCAAAAAGAGAGACGAAAATGAAAAAAGACCTCCCAGGAACTTGGTCATGTGACCACGCGATCCAAAGATGATAAAATAAACATGCCGACTGTGTGAATCGAACACACGACCTCTGCTTTACGAGAGCAGCGCACTGCCAACTGTGCTAAGTCGGCATCTTTGCGTCTGAAACCTGTAGAAACATCTTCAGCAAGAAAATTGCCTAAAGAAAAATGTAAAAATGCCAAAATTTGGACGCTTTTGCTGGTATCTACGTGTAGCGGAGCGTATAACGAATAGAATGATATAGCTAGGAGCTCTGGATGGGAAGTATGGGAAAAGTAATTTGGGATGAAGGGTAGATTAAAAAAAGTTGGTAGGTTGAGATCCAAATTGCTTACAGCATAGTGAAAAATAAAGGAGTCTGTTTCTCAAAATTTTCATATTGAAGTGTATAGAGTTTATGAGAGCGAAATTAATCAGCGTGCACGAGAGTACATTGTGTGAAAGTTTCAAGTTCAAACTAGGGAATCCCAAGGTTTTAGGTGGGTTTCTTGTTAATTTATGGGGTTCATGGAGTTGACTGAGTCCAACGTCAGTCTTACCCTACTTAATTTCCAGTTCCTCCGCTCCCAGTCTCTTCCACTCGTAATCATTGCCCATTCACGTACAACTACAACTTGCGAACGATTGTCCTGCTTCAACCCATCATGTCAAGCCTACAAATGCCTCCATCTGAAACTCTTTGACGGATTGACGAGTCCATAGCGTGTGCACCCCACTACAACACACTCCTTTCTTGATACTCTACGCTCTCTTGCACACCCCTATGCTACGACCAAACGTAACAGCATTCAATCCAGCAGTTGCTATTAGCGAGGTTACTCCATTGCGTCAAACAGCGTTCATTGCAGCAACTGCTATAAGGTCTTTTCTTCATTGCCTTGAACAGCGTTCGCAACCTTGTCACTCTACTACAACACACGCTCTTGCACACCCCTCTACCACGAACAAACGTAGCAACAACTGCTATTATGAAGGACTTTATATCATAAGCAACTCTATTTACGTGCAGCAACTTGCTTCAATGAATACGATTTCCTATGGACGTGGATCTTAATATTGCTATGGTACATGTATGGAAGAAATTGGATATGACCAATTGGTTCCCTTGGCGCATTCGCTTTGAATGATACGTTAGCTATCAAGTCGAGTGCAATGCAAGTAATCTTCACCTGCGATGGGAAATGGCGAAGAAAGGAATTGACTAACAGCCGAATGGAAAAGGAAGCATACCGGCAGCGATCACACGATGGCTCTTCGTTATTGGATTTGCAGTGGTTATGGATGGGGGGATGCAATCAAGTGGAGTGATGGGGAGTCCTGGAATGTTGCTTTGGTTACTTGGCGCGTTGTCAGCAAAAACGATGGGATCATATGACATGGATACGACTGAGGATGATGAGGGATTGGATGGGATCGACAAAAGTTGTAAGTTCGAGTCTTTGGGTACGTTGTTGAGAGAGGGATTTAATTAGATAGTTTCAATGGTATCTTAATATGAGAATAAAGAGCACCGGTTACAGGTTGTGGTTGTGCTTAAAGCGATGGGTGGGGTAAAATGGATGGATTGGGAAATACAATGGTGGTTGAAAAGGGATAATGGATTTACAATCGGGATGTGCGGTTGTAGTGAATGAATAAGAAGCGCAAGATCTTTTGCAATATCAAACGAAAATGGGATTAGTTGGAAAAGAGAATGATGAAGTCGACTAAGGCTGAGAGAATGAAAGTGGGTTTGAAAAGATGAAGGTTGAAAGAAAAAAAGTGGTTGTGAGGTGTCGAGCTGCTAGATGTAAAGTTGATCTTGAGTAGATTAGATCTTCTACCAAGAAAAAAAAACAAGGCAAGGATGATAACGATGAAAGAGGGATGTGTGGAGCAAAACCCATAGCACAAGATAGAAAAGTCATTCTTGTTATGCACTACCAAAGAATCAATGTTTATTTATCTTCTTCATAATGAAGGTATATATGTGTATGAATCGCTAAAATGACAAGGAAAAACGACTTGAATTAAGCTTGTGGAGGTGGTGTGTATGTAATGGTCCATAGCGAAAACATTGGGCGTTGCCTTGGATGAGCAGGGTCGGTGAATTGGATGAATCGTCTATCGACATCGGCCACTCTTCGCATTTCTTTGCTAATTTTGCTGTATACAAATCAGTCAATAAATCCATGATAGCAATGCTCGATTTACTTACTTTAAATCATTATCCACTAAAAGACTTGTATTAGTCAATAAAACATGTGTGTTGTGATGTTGGGTTACTTGCCTGTGGCGAAAGTTTGAGAAACTTGCTGAAGCAGGGTCAAAACCAAGCGTGACAAGAACAAGTGGAGATACGTGTTGAATCACATTTGCAGAAGCATTGAGGAATGGTGTCCATTGTTCTTGCTGGTTTCTTGGTATTGGTGCCACCGGCCAGAGATCATGAAATGTAGGAGGGATGAAATTATCCCGTTCTTGATAGGCACCAAGAGCTAACGAGATCAAGTCCCCGGTCAAATAGCCTGCTCGGCTACCATCGAAGAACCCACGTAGTAATGCTGCATCCTCTCTAGTGATATCCTTTGCGAATATCATTAATGGTGTCAAGCCTGTTGCTGTTGTTGCACCAGATGGAGCTTGCTGAGCAAATAAATCAATGAGAGCACCATCCAACTGCGCAGCCCGCTGGGGATCCACTTCTTGCAGGTGATCTTGGTACAACGCTCGATACAGTTGCTGAATTTCTTGATTAACGTAACCTTGCTGATGTTCGCCAAAAAAGGATCCTCTGAGTACTTGGTCTTCCTTCAATCCTACTCTTCGGGAAGATAGGTACAATAAAAACCACCTGGTTGGGAGTTGAGAAGGAATTGATGACCAAACAAGCGGATAAAGGTCTGTTCAGCGGCATCTACCAGTCTTTGACTGATAGCGTTTTGTACAGCAGCTACGAACAATGAAGGCACATCGAAAACTTAAAAAGCTTGGTGCATGTTGGCTTGATCCACGGCTGTCGGAAATTGACAACACCCGTATGTGAAAGCAGAGAGTTGAGGTTCAATCAATGTCGCTCAAGAGGACCAATGTTGTCATGACCATGATGACGAATAATCACATCGCCCATTATCACGCTCGACTCGTATATGGTTATATCTTAGGTAGTTACCCAATCCCAGTGTCTTGCTCTATTCAAGAGTAAGCACACTTGCGTTGAGTATCGTTTATTCTTATCGCGTCTACTACTGTATTACTGCCACTATAATACCTACCTCAAATGTCGACTTTAAACCTTGAGCAATGATGTTTTCACGAAAAGTGGAAAGATGGTGATGGTGTGTGAGAAAAGGAGGTTGTCAAGAAGTAGTTTTTATAGCTGAGAAAGAGTATCCATGAGGATCAAAACCACTCACATGCAACAAAGGTTGATGTGATTGATTGTTTTTATGTTACACAGCATGAACGTAACCTCCCTATGCTAGGTCAATTCTTTGTGTATCCATGGCACACCTTTCGGTTGCAAGTATCAAGCTGTTTGAAAAATAGCAGAGAACAATGAACATAAGGGGTGGCACATGTATGCGTGGATGCAATATTCAAAATGATTGGGGGATGACCACAAAGGGTGCTGATTTATTGCTCAAGGACTTTCAACCGGTACATGTCATCTTGTTTACATCAACAGCCTGTGACCTCTGGTTCATTGACGACAAATATGTGGTCTAGATTCGGCTCTAGAGAGAGACAAAGCCGAGCGGCAGTATCCTCGGTAGCAATGTTGTCCTGCGGTAAGCAAAGAAAGTACGTAGTGGGCGTGGGAGACGATCATGCATAGTGGGTAAAAAAAACCAAACAAAGGAAATCTACGCCTGTTGGCGCTTTATCAATAGTGCAGTGTACGAATCTTTTTATTGACAACAGACATCATCACGTGCACATCATTTTCTACACTGAGCCAGCAATGGTTCCATATCAATTATCATCATGTCAAAAAAGTTTCCGAAGCCAATGGGTGATTCATGCTTGAGCCTCTTCAATTTCAACTTGGCGAATGAATAGTGTTGTGTATCGTTAGTGTCAGCCCTGATACCATAGCAACTCGATCGCCATGTCTCCTTCTCAATTGCCAATCCCATGCCGCACGATCAGCCAAGAGGGATCAATGACTGATGCCAACACCCAAGCATCGCTCAACTCGACCGTATCTGTACAACGTGAACAATCATCACAAGCGTCGCGTCTTATCGGTGAGAAGCTACTTCAACGATGGGCTCTCTTGAATGAACTATGCACAAGCGATTGTTGTCATGCTGTAGGTAACACTGATTAGTGCCAATAGGGCACCTTGCTGATACCCCTTCTACATTGCAGGTCCCATTGGTGAGAGATCCAATGCATCAATTCATGCTGTGCGTGCTTTGTGAGACAAAGTACATGCTAGGACACTCCGCCAGACAATACGATTTCAAGCGTGGACGGCTACAAGATACAATAGAAGAGGTAAAGAGGTGATTATCAATATGCAATGTTATGCAATGCTCACATGTTGTGTCCTGGTTATCCATTTGCAGATAGATCATCATCAAGCAGCACCAAAACGTCAAAAACGTGGGCAATAGCTGTAGTAAATTGCGTCGTATTGTACGATCTTCTTCATTCTCGGTAATAAACACAGCATTCCAGAAATCCTCAGCCATACCAAAAAAGCCTACTTTGCTTGTAGCCATTGTTGTTGATAACCATTTCATCATTTTTCTTCGTGTATAGAATTTATAAAAGTGGTCGTCACCCCCTTGTGCCTATTCTTGGCGTGCTGTCAACCAGGTTCATCTTTTCATTCAGGGGGTTGTATGTAGTGATTAGATCGAATTTTGACTACCATGAATAAGGATGGTATCCATTACCCGTTGTTCTGGTCATAAAGAATAATCGGAGTGAGATGGGTTCATTACTATGGAAACGTGCCGTGTCACCAAAACCGGCGGATGTTTCGGAAGGAGCACGGACGTGAGCCTAGGCACATGTAATGGGCTAAAGGAGCGTGTAGTAAGTAGTAAGAGACAGTGTAGTTGTAGTTGTAGTGTTATGTTGTGTACATACATGTATGACCACTATTAAATGGGACGATGATGACCTCCGTGTAATGTGTTGGATTGGGACAACCCATGCAAGCCCCATATGTAGCCCCCCTTTTGATGATGATGCAAGTGTTGTATTGCTCATAGCATGTCTATTGCGGATCAAGAATATCATCATTTCTTGTCCCTTGTTTGTGCGGAAAAGGTCAACATCCCAACCTTATTTCAATTGCTGGACCATCTTTTTTTTTCTTTTTCCCTCTTTCATATCACACCGCCTTTTTGACTATCCTCAAGTCAGGCGCGCGCGCACATCACTATTCGCATTTCTTTACAGACACCTTCATTTGCTATTGCAATCATCCCACGAAGCATCTCTGGAACCAGTTCTTGACGCATCGGTATTCTCCTTTCATTGCACGCTTATACTCCTTGTCCCATTTCCGGCGGTGGTCATCAGCGCCAATCTTTATTCTCGATCGTGTCTTTTGAACTTGTACCAAACAAGCCATTGTACATAGTTTAGCAAGTGGTTGGCAATACGAATACACAACAGCATGCAACGGGGTGCATTTATGGCCGATTATCCCGGCTTAGAGAGACCACAGCAAAGATCGCAATATAGTCGACAAGCGTATCAATTAGATATCCAACAACCCAAAGCAAGGAATCAACCCAAAGGACAGGTAAAAGTATCATGATTCTTGGTGTCACAATAAGGCTAATGACAGGTGTAATTAGTTGGCTGCTTTGATGAGTAACCGAGGCGGTGATCTTGAAGCTGATTTCTACTTGGATTCAACAAACGACTATGGGAATCGTTCTAGCAGTGCACCTCCCGATCAGCATTTATTGAGTCAACAAGGATCCATGGCGAGAAATCCATTTCCTCTTTCTCAACAAGGTGTTGGAGACGCGTCATCCTCCTCATCAGCTATCGACCAGGGTCATTATTTACAACAACAACAACAACACCACCAACAACAGCAACATTGGGATCCAACCTCAACTTCCTTACGACATGTTTGGTCGTCTACGCCAAATCAAATGGTACCAGCAACAGCAGCGGATGGCAGCAAAGTGTTTGAACAGGAACCAGGTAATAATTCTCCCCGACATGTGCTTCATGGTAGCACAATGGCACGAAACACTGAAGCACTCACTCACACATCCACCATCCTATTTTATAGGCAGCAGCAGCACCACATCAGACCCATATTTGAATACGCTTTCCAAAACCGACAATCGATCAACACCAGATCATTTGGGACGCTTGTGGGGATCGCCTAGTTTCATGTCACCCAGCAACGAAGGTGGAATGGATCCTGTTCAAGGGGTAACGCTTGCCTTTTTAATGTCAACACCATTGGATAACCAAATTTTCTAGGTTCCCAATACATCCATCTCCCCATTAGCATCCATTGGTCAACGCCCTATCAACCAAGAGCAACATGATTCCTTGTTGATGCGATACAACAACCTTGATAATCGTGCTTTTATGATGCAAGGATCTTCATCTTCCAATACTCGCTCCAATACAACCACTGGCAATAGCCGTCTTGGTGCCTACAGGAATTATAACCATGGGATGAGTAGTCCAGCAGACTATGCAGCATTGCAAAGCCCAGTATCCAATGAATCGTTTAAAAGTCCTCAGCCAATGTCACCACAGCAACCACCACCGCCTCCTTTCCAATTCAACACAATGTCACCACCACCTAGAGCCAATTCAACACCACCAGGGAACCATATGCCAGGACACCATCGTCAACACATTGAAGCTCAGGAGTATAATAATATGCTTCTTGGGATGAGAGGCATGGGTTTACATGACAAGGTATGTGCGTATCTTTTTCTTGTTTGATCCTTTATTGACATTTATGAAATTAGCAGGCATCAGCTGGCAATAGTGATGAATTCAAAGCCAATCGAATGACAGCTGCACAACAGCAACGCTATCGACAATGGTTGAATCGACAAGGAGGTGGAAGTGGAGGAGCAAGTAGTGGTATCAAGCATCAACAAACAGCAAGCTTGGATGCTGTCATGAGGGATACAGCTAATGCCACAGCATGGAGTGCAAGTTCAACCCCTAATCGTGTCATGTCTCCAGGTAAGCATTGCGTGTTACATTATACTATGAAGCGGGAATTCACATGTTGCCTAGTCAACGGGTCGTTTGATGATCTTCGAGCACAATCCACCTCTCCTTCTCTTTATGGTGACTTTTATGACAATGACATGCATCATCGTATGTATCCTTCACATCCTCGTGATCGACGTCAACCACCGCAACATGCAATGATGGGCGCTGATATGGAACATGTGGATCCTGCTTTCTGGCAAGAACATGCATTGGGACGTGGTGCAATGACTCCGGAGATGCAACAACCACCACAACAACATGATGTCGCTGATGAACAAATTTGGAGACAACTTCAGGCACGGCAACGACAAATCATGATGCAACAAGAGGAGCTTTATCTTTTGAGGAATCAAATGTTGCGTAATATGGCTCCCTATGGACCTTACAACATGGCACCAGGGGTCATGAATCCAACAGCTCGTGGTGGTATTCCTGCAACTCATGATACAATGTCGCCTACAGCAGCAGCAGCAGCAGTAGCAGCACCCATGACACCTACCTCGGATGTGGTACAAATCATTCGTAGTCCTTTGTTGGAAGAGTTTAGGAACAACAAAAACAGAAAATACGAGCTCAAGGTAAACAATCCTACTACATTAATGATCCCTCCAAATACTTACATCTCATACGTAGGATATCATCGATCATGTGGTGGAGTTTAGCGGTGATCAACATGGCTCACGCTTTATCCAGCAAAAACTTGAAACAGCCAACAGTGACGAGAAACAGCTTGTCTTTGATGAGATCCTACCCAATTGCTTGCAACTCATGACCGATGTGTTTGGCAACTATGTCGTCCAAAAGCTCTTTGAACATGGTAGTCAAGCTCAAAAGGCGATCCTTGCTAAACAAATGGAAGGGCACATTTTGTCGTTATCGTTGCAAATGTATGGTTGTCGTGTAGTACAAAAGGTAAGAGTGTGGTATTTGAAGGAGGGGTGCCTATACTAAAAAAGTATTGGTTGTAGGCACTTGAGCATGTACTTGTGGATCAACAAGCCAGCATTATTCGTGAGATTGATGGAAATGTGTTGAAATGCGTCAAGGACCAAAACGGCAACCACGTGGTGCAAAAGGCTATTGAGCGTGTGCCTTCGCAGTATATCCAATTCATCATTGACACATTCCATGGACAAGTATATCACCTGGCAACCCATCCCTATGGTTGCAGAGTCATCCAGCGCATGTTTGAGCATTGTCCTAGCCAACAAACGGTAAGTGGGTCGTATGGAGGATGATTTGAATTGTGACTAAGATAATGTATATAGGATCGATTACTTGAAGAATTACATCGTTGTACAAGTCAATTGGTGCAGGATCAATACGGCAATTATGTGGTGCAGCATATTCTCGAGCATGGCAAACCTGAAGACAAGGCACTCATCATTGGCAAGATCCGTGGACATGTCCTCCAACTAAGCAAGCATAAGTTTGCCAGCAATGTGGTTGAAAAGTGCGTCGCCTATGGTAGCACTGAGGATCGTCATGCTCTTATTGAAGAAGTACTACAAATGCGTCCTGATGGGTATGTTGTTTTCAGCTCCTACAAAGAACCATAGTGACTAATGATGATGCGTTGTACAGATCATCACCCCTGCTTACGCTGATGAAGGATCAATACGCCAACTATGTATTGCAGAAAATGCTGGATACTGTGGATGATTCGCAGCAACGAGATGTCCTTGTGAATAGGATCAAGACACATTTGCATTCAGTGCGTAAATACACGTATGGGAAACATTTGACACAGAGTAAGTAATACATGCTTTTGGGGGGATTCATTGTTATTAATAATCGTATTGTAGAGGTGGAGAAGTTACTTCCCCTGACGACTCAAGCTCAAGAGAACAAACAAGACAAGGAGACCACGGCTACATCTGTTGATGCATCCACCAACGTTGCAGCACCTGCTGCAGATGCTTCTACCACCCCACAACACGAGGCCTCGGGGGATGTACAGCCATTCTAACCATTATCAAACCTTTTGCAATGTCTATAGTCTTACACATTACGTATACCTTTTTCAGTTCCTGTTCTTTTATATCCTGGATGTCTGTACTCCATCACCTTGTATGAACTGTAGAAATGGGATCACACATCATGTGCCTTTATGCGCATCCCCCCCTCATCTCATTGTATATTCTTCTTTTTTATTTGGAACTTTAGTAGCATTTATAACAATCTTTATATCTTTCGATGAATCATCCTCCTCTTCCAATGTCGTTTATATAGTCGTTTGTTCGCTGGATCAAAAAAGAGAAAGTAGATCAAAGGTCACGTGGATTTGGGACATACAAAAGCGGACCACGACGGATGAGTGCCAATTTTCCCGGCTTTGGCCTTTGAATTTGACACAGACCAACCTTTTCTTTTTCCTTGTTCAATATGAGCTCAGGCATCGCACGAAGTCGTTTACTTGAAGAACGCAAGCAATGGCGTAAAGACCATCCTCATGTAAGTGACCACCGATCTCGACATTGACGTGTTCTCACCCGTGTCAACCATAGGGTTTCTGGGCACGACCTGGCAAGAATGCCGACAACTCTCTCGACCTTATGCAATGGACATGCGGCATTCCTGGCAAAGACGGTGTACGTAGCAACACTATAAAAAGGAGAAAACAACACGGCTGATATGAATATAGACACCATGGGCGAATGGCGTTTACAAAATCAGCATGACCTTTCCTGAAGGTGAGCATACACACACACGCACATACACGCAGCACCTCTTGATACTCACCCCACGTATTAGAATATCCAAGCAAGCCTCCCAAATGTAAGATGATGACGCGTCTTGTACAAGATGTATGTGTGTATTGATAATCTCTTTATTGTAGGCAAGTTTACCCCACCTCTCTTTCATCCCAATGTGTATCCTTCTGGCACTGTTTGCTTATCTATATTGAATGAGGACGAAGGATGGAAGCCTGCCATCACGTTGAAACAGGTATGGATCTCCTTATAGTTGAAGCAACACCGGTATTGATGGACATGGTGCTTAGATCCTTCTTGGTATCCAAGATTTGTTGAACGATCCCAATCCAGACTCCCCTGCTCAACAAGAAGCGTACATTTTGTTCAGGTATGTATACGATGTGGGTTATTAAATGATTGGAAAGCCCATCACTCATCCTGTGTATAGGAGGGACAAGGCTCTGTATGAGAAAAAGGTTTTGGAACAAGCAGCCCGTAACCGCCCTTCATGAAATGGATCGTCATCGTAGTTATAAAACAAAAGGATATGGCAAAAAACTCACAAAAAAAACATTAAAGTGCACGTCAAATGATGATGATGTATAATATGATGCTTTATGTGTATATAACGAATGTATTGTTTACATTAGCCTTTGCATTCCCAGCTAGCTGCCACATATAAACCACCCGCATGATGTAATAAACATACAAGTGACCATTGGCCAATGTCCGTAACTTTGACACTACCATCGTATGTATGATCGTGGGGATGATACACTAGCTTGAATAATCGACCGTTGGGGTTGCGGATGGCGAGTTTGTGATGACTATGCTCGCTCTTGACGCGGAATGTATATGTTTGTAATGGGTATAAATGGAAGCATTGTGGTTCCTGGACGTAAAGTTCGTATTGGCACACGTGTAGTTGAACAAATTCAAAAGGTGCAGCGGGTGACGATACGGCCGTATTGATGCTTTCTTGGGTAGTACTATTCATGCATTGTCTGGTCAATCGAAAACAAAGGGCAAGAGGATAATGATGAGATGTGATCTTTTGTTGTGGTTGTGTCAAACGAGGACCTGCATAAATCTTGAGCCATCCCATCCATTGATCAGGTGGTAGCGTAGCTTTGATTTTGCATAATCGGGTTGTGCCATCTTCAGGGGATGTATAACATTGTGCAAGGCCGCGCATCGTTTCAAGCGTTGTAAACGTTGCATTTTGTTGTAACGTTGTCCGCATCTCAACTTCCGCATAGCATGCAATGTCAGGATCCACAGAGAGTGTCAAGTGACAAATCTCATCGTTGACAAGATCAAGGCATCCAGGATCATAATCCAATACTTGTACATGATGCCAAAAATAAGGCATGCATACATAGGGTAACGAAAAGAATGTTGTCAGGCTGATAGGTGGTTCCAAATACTGATGTGCATTGTCGTTTGGGAAATGGGTATAGATCATGTTGGATGGCCGACAAAGAAACCAATGTGTCTCCATCACATCATTGTTGCCTGGTGTTTGTGGTAATGCTAACCAGCAATCGACAAGTCGATATTCGCCTTCAACCTGCACTATATACAAGGCGTTATTTTTATATCACTCACAACAAGAAAAGAACGCAACCCTACCTGCACACCAAACATGGTTTGTTATTGGAGAACCATCAGATCCAAAGGCTGATTCAATCGAGTCTCTATATGCTACCCATGATCTCGTTCAATGTTGTGTATGCGTACAACAATATGGCTTACATACCACGTAGATATCCTTGGACAATGTGGGCTTCATTGAAACCAACAGCATGTGCCATGGCACAAAACAAACGAGCAATGCCTGCTGGTGTTTTGCTGTAACGAGTTGCAAGCACGGATTCGGCAGATTCATTCATGTCGTTTTCTGTCGTCATGGTGCATTCGATCTCTCTGGTAATGTTTTGTACGACCCAAGTGAAAATAGAACGAATCTTGTATAGATCGCGTCGGTATGGCCGAGCAAGGAATTTTTGTGCTAAAATGCTGGGGGTCAACATGGGACCTCGTTGGTTGACATTGGCGGCGTAAGTGTCGATTTGAGTGTAATCATGCGGGTCATCGTCATCCAAGCCTAATTCATCAGCTACCGGTAACGTATGACTATAGGTGTATGGGTATGTCAATGAAATGTGTGTGTGGGAATATAGATTCACATGTCAAATCATACCTTAGAATAAGGAAAGGATTAGGACGTGCCATTGTTGCATTGGTAGCTGTTGTCTTTGCAATGACATTATGAATAGGTGTCATTGGTCTATCCACACTCCATGATCTTAATGCAGCATGCTGATCTTTGGAAGCACCTTCAACACGCAATTTTTGTGGTTGTAATAGACCTTTAAGGCGTCGTGACAAGTTGCGATGCAATGGAGTTACAGGATGTGTACTTGTTTCCATACGTGGATTCCAAAATGTGGGATGTTTGGGTGTGTGCGAGGATGATGAAACAGTGGATGGTGGTGATGGTGGTAGTTCCATGACAACCGGGGATCTAGTATTATCTGCATAAACCCGATTGCATCGATCCGAAAGCGGGGAACGTAGCAACAGACGTTGATGCTGTTGTTGGGGAGGTGTATTGAGTGGTCGTTGGGGTCTCGGGATAGGTTCATTGTTATTCGTAGTAGCTGGTTGCTGTACAATGTCGCGTGGTATCACTATTTGTTGAGGAAGTGGTTTTCGTTTCACCCGCATTTTCTCGGCATGTCGCGATTCAAGTTGTTGCTCATGTCCATTCATGTGCGGGGCTGATATTCGACGATGGCGTAAAGGAGCAGCAGTATTGGTGCTGGTACCCGTGGTGTTGTTGGTAGTCGTATTTGAAACACTGTCGGCTATCATACTGTGACAACGTCGACCATGACGTGGTGAGCGAAGATAATTTGTCGTAGGCGTGGATTGAGAAGGAAGGAGTGGTGGTGGTGGAGGTGGTTGTGTATTGCCAGCTTGCATTGAAGCAGTGAGCCAATAAGGACTAGTGTTGTGCCCCATCATCATGTCAGAGGGAGTGTACATTTGTGCAAAAGAAAAAGAAAGAGAGGAAATTATCTCATTGTCAATGCTTTCATCATTGTAAACAATCTAATTGCCAATCCCTTGTCGAGGGTAGAGATGTCCATAAAAGTCATGTTGTTGTTTTTGTCACACGGTATTTGTGCATACAAGGAGTTAAGGGAGGTATATGTCAATTAACAAAAAGAGAAAAAAAGGAAGGGGAGAGTAGGTAATGGCTTGTTAATCTTAATCAGCATCACTCATGATGGCTTCCGCTACTTCATTCAGCTTCTTGTCTTCCTCTTGCACTGCATCTCGGAGCTTGCTGTCCGTTTCCTCTTTGAGCATGGCCTCTTTCATCTCGCGTGTAGGAGGGAGTCGCTCATTCTCTATATCAGATTTCTTGGCTTCCTCAAAAGATGTAATGGCTACACAGCATGAATTAGTGATACCATGTCATTTTCCTAAACAATCGCTCAAAACTTACCGGTCTTGATGCCTTCAGCGCCCAAAGCCAATGTACCCAATGGTAGTTTACCAGTAGGCGAAAGCGTCTTGAGCTCCATAACACGTTCCGAATTTTCACGCAATACAGAGAACACACGCGACATTTTGCCGACTGCAAGAATCTTGTTGCGGATGACGGTTCTACGTTCCTCTGTTTCCTTGGTGGATGTTGGCTCATCCAATGACAATCGATGCTCCTCGTCAGCCAATTCATCTTTACTGCAAATGTTGAGAATAGCGAGTAGCATATCGGTAACTAGGCAACATCAATCAGCACCTTGATTATACACCATCCACCTCCCTCCTCTTACTTACTCTTTTCTCCCACAAATGGCAAGCTCCAAGTAAACACGTCCATGAAATTGGGCAACCAATAAGGGTGTGGGGTGCAATTAAATTGCCGGATATTCATGACATTATTCTCGTACTTGAGCACAGCTGCCTTATTGTTGTATACGTCCAAATAATTTGGTGCTGAAAAGATGGTCATGACGGATGGGAAAGAAGTGGTCTTGCTCTTGCGATACATGCGATATCCAGCATCTTGTGCTTCATGGGCTCGAATGATTGATAACAAGTTGTTTCTCTCCAAGAATGCGCAAGCAGCGTGATAGCTAAAACACAATATAATCAACATACACTGACATTTGTAGATACACGAGGTATCTTACCTGAAAAAGTACGAGCAACCTCGGACATTGTTGTGAATAAACAACTCGTTGGTCTTTTCTTGTCCAAATTCTTCCAATGGATCAGCCCACAACAAATCGCACATTAAGCCATGGGTTGGTGGTTCACGGAAGCGATCAAACTAGGAAAGCGTAGCTAATGATGAATTACCTCGTTCATGACCATGATCCAGAATAAACACCTACGTTTCTCAAATCATCCAATGTTTGCAACTCAGGCGACAAACCACCGTGGATACACAAGAATTGGCGGTTCATGACAGCTGCCAGGGGTAATGCACAAAATGAATCCATACATGCTTCATATACTGGTTCAGTGTACTTGTGGCGACCTGATAGCATGATTAGAGTTCATCCTTAATACCGTATCCCGTATGCCATCCCACCCAAGTTACTTACATTCGATCTTAAAAGTGAAGTAATCCGTCAAGTGCCTGCACTCGTGATTGCCTCGGAGCAAAAAGAACGACTTTGGATACCACATTTTCAAAGACCACAAATATAATACACACTATTACAACGCATGTGGGGCTTAGCGCAACTATCACATAGCCATCACAAGTCCATTACCTACCTCGATGGAAAAGTAACCACGATCGACATAATCACCAAGAAAGAGATAGGTCGTATTGGCAGGATCACCACCCACTTCAAACAGCTTCATCAAGTCATAGTATTGACCATGGATATCACCGCATACTGTGGTAGACATCATTTAGGATATATGGACATGTACATGTGAAAGAAGCTATACACACATACCAGTGATGGGTGCGCCTACTTCAAGCAAATTGGGTTCTTCCTTGAGGATCTCTGTACCCTTTTCGAGAATATACAATGCTTGTTCTTCGGAGAGCCGGCCCTCACGATAAAAATGGTCCTTCAAAAAAGTAATGTCGGGCAAGCCAGGTCGTTCTTTGCTGAAGAACTCTTCGTCCGTTGGTATACGCACAGCTGGTGCAGGCACGTCTATGTTTCTCCATGTTGAGTGCACGATGAAGGATGACAGCTTGGTTCCCACTTGAACAACACCAACCTTTAATGACTCTATCTTTGGTGCTCACAACAGTGCCATCGTCCATTTTATATACTGAGAAATCGATTGTTGGAATCTCGGGCTTGTTTTGCAAACGGCGAATGGCAGGGCTAAGCTCAGGCCGTGAATCTGTTTCTGCGTCGGCGTTGCTCATGATGGATTGTCCTCAAGGATGAGAGAGAAAGAGAAGGGAAAGATAGGATCCGAGTCAAGAGAGAGAGAGAGAATTTGGCTTCTGTGAGCGAAAGGGTATGCGGAGTGCGTGCAGCACCTAAAGTCTGGCCCATTGGTTGTTGCGTGGTACAAGCTGTTGAGCCAACGGTTTGCAATTGACGCTTGACGTTTACAATCATCCATATCCAATTCCATGTCATTCATTATAGTAGATCATCATGTTCAATCGCCATCCATTTCATAATAAAAAGGGTATATGCACTTTATTCAACAAGTAATTGTTGCTATCCTACTACGTGCTGCCTCTTCTTGAAGCAACTACTACTATTATCCATTGAAAGATAGGTGTCAAGTATAATGCTTGTATTTTCATATGAATCAAGGGTCGTCTTGTATATAAGATAGCATGAGACGATAGAGGTAGTGTGCTTTATCCTTGGATTGAGGGCTGTTGGTGAAACGCAGTAAACTGAATCTAAGACTGCTGGCATTTTTTGCCGCAGTGAAACATATTATTTTTGTCGGGACACATAGACAATGAATTTGCTTGGTCCGGTTACAATTGCCGAACCAATGCTTTTACCATACACCATCGCACGTCAGCAGCTGAGGCAGCAACCAGCAGCAGCAGCAGCCAGCTATTCGGGATGCTGCCCTTTTGGGTCATCCTAAATATGGAACAATGATGTGTGAGATATTTCTGTATGTTGGGATGATCAACAAACCAACAACAACACTCTATATATATATACGTTTTACAATGTGGGGAAGAAAATGGGGGTTGGATGGTAGATTGTGGATGCGCACAATGTGGGAAAACAACTGCTGCACCAGCTGCTGTGATAAGCAACAGGGCCGTTGCCATGGCAAAATCCCGACCAATGGGTCCTAGTGCATAATGGCTGATGTTTAACGGCTCGGAAAATTTATAAAGGTAATCAAGGAAAGAGAGATAAAGTCCATGGCTTATCCGGAATTATCTTTTCAGCGGAACGATGCATAACGTTAATTGATTGATGCAGGGTTGGACTCTGCTGCCACAATACTGACAAGCGAGATGAGAGATTATTCGCACACACAAACACTTTTTTTGCGGGGGGAGCATCCGCCATATCACCATCATCATCATGCACCTTGTACTCCCGAAAAAGTGATACATCGTTTATCCGCTTTTGACTAATGGATTGTAAAGAGAGGCATGTGCATTTATCCCATAAGACCATTCTATGACAAAAGAGAACCTTGCTTGCCTATAACGCATATCACCAAAACAAAAGCAAGGTCGCTGATTGGACCCCACATTTGTTTGGAATGGCCCATTTGCTCCGTATCATCAGGAAGGGAGGAGCTGAGGGGGGGGGTTGTAGTCTAGGGCACCACTCCTTTTCTTTTCTTTTCCCTTGAATCATCGTTTCCACTTGTCATCCACAAAAAGTGGCCTGTGAAACATTGGTTTGAATTGATGCTTATGTATGCTTTTTTCAACTTTCGCGGACGATCAAAGTAGTAGTTCGATAGAAGAAAATGGGCTGATGGGATGCGGGGATCCAAACGTAAGCTGGTCCATGCATAATTCGTATGGACAATGCTTTTCCTCTCTTATCATGCCACCTTCTTGCCAACATCTCCACTTGCTTTTATGATGACAGCAATACACAAACAATACAAAAAACTTTCACATGCACTTGCATTGCAGGTGGGAGACGCACATGGAAAAAAATAAGGGCGTTGTTCATTTCAGCCAAGCTTGTGGGAAAGATCAGGTGGTAGCACCCATATACAGTATCCATCATGCTAAAGATCGGGGGTGTTCCTCTCTCACTCTCACACACGCACTCTGCTGCTGCACACACACACACACACTCACTCACTCTCACACAACACGCTTCCAACACACAAGGTTACTTGCTGACCCGCGTGTTTAAAAGCGTCATAAATTTTCTTTACACACACGTAATCTCTTTTTTATTTCTCCTCGTTCCCTTTTTCTCTTTTCCTCCCTACTCTCTACACACACACACATTTACTACCATGTCTTTAAAGAATCAAATTATTGTTGTCGGTGGTGGTCTTTCTGGTCTTTCGGCAGCACACACCATCATTGAGCAGGGTGGCAATGTATTGCTTTTGGATAAGAATCCCTTCTTTGGGTACGTAAATCTATCTATGCACATTGACCATGGTGCCCGAGATTCTCATTTGCTTGTGTTACTATAGTGGCAACTCCACCAAGGCTACCTCCGGTATCAATGGCGCGTTGACTCGTACCCAGATGGCACTCAACATTAAGGATTCGGTGGAAGCCTTTTATCAAGATACCCTTAAATCAGCTCGTGATCTTGCTCGTCCCGAATTGATCAAGGTGTTGACTGGACGTTCAGCTTCGGCTGTTGAGTGGCTCCAAGACAAGTTTGAGCTTGATCTTTCCCTTGTCTCTCGTTTGGGTGGACATTCTTTCCCTCGTACACATCGTGGCAAAGAACAATTTCCAGGCATGACGATCACCTATGCCCTTATGGAAGGATTAGAAGAACTTGCTGAAAAGCAACCTGAACGTGCAAAGATCATCAAGAAGGCTCGTGTGACCGAGTTGATCAAGGACGAGCAAGGTGGTGTGATTGGCGTCGAATACCAATTGGTGGGCAATTCAGCTGATGGCAAAACCTACAAGGAATATGGTCCCGTGGTGTTGGCTACAGGTGGTTATGCAGCTGATTTCGGTCCAAACTCATTGCTCAAGCAACATCGTCCTGAATACTTTGATCTTTCCACCACCAATGGTGATCACTGCACTGGTGATGGTATCAAGATGGCTGCTGCTGCTGGTGCCAATACCGTTGATCTTGAAAAGGTGCAAGTACATCCTACTGGTTTAGTGGATCCAAAGGAACCTGATGCCAAGGTCAAGTTTTTGGCAGCTGAAGCACTTCGTGGTTGTGGTGGTATCCTTCTCGATGCCGAAGGCAACCGTTTTTGTGACGAACTTGGTCACCGTGATTATGTCACCGGCATGATGTGGAAGAACAAGTTCCCCATCCGCCTTGTTCTCAACACAGCCGCCTCCAAGGAGATCGAATGGCATTGCCGACATTATGCAGGTCGTGGCCTCATGAAGAAGTTCGATAATGGTGAAGCACTTGCAAAGGAAATGGGCATCTCACCTGCCAAGCTCAAGGAAACTTTGGATACTTACAATGCTATTGCTGCTGGAAAACAAAAGGATCCATGGGGCAAAAAGTTCTTCCACAACGTCCCTATTTCCATGGATGATTACTTTTATGTCGCCTTGATGCAACCCGTTCTTCATTATACAATGGTAAGTTGTTGGGAACCAAAGTGAATGAGTGGTGGCTAACACGTTTGTTACAGGGTGGTGTTGAAATTACCCCCAATGCAGAAATCAAGGGTGTCAATCAAGATAGCGTGGTACCTGGTCTCTTTGCATGTGGCGAAATGTGTGGTGGCGTTCATGGTGCCAATCGTCTTGGTGGTTCTTCCTTGTTGGGTTGTGTAGTATTTGGTCGTGTTGCTGGCCAAACTGCTTCTCGTTATCTTTTCCAAAGACTCATCAACAATGGTGGGGGCAGCGTTGCACAACAACGTTTGGGTGCCATTGCATCTCATCTTGGTACTGTTGGCCTTAGTGTCTCTGTCAACCCCACTGATCCCAATCGCATCAACCTTGAAATTGCTTGGCCTGGCGCTGCTGCTGCTGCTGCTGGTGAAGCTGCTACTGCTTCTGCATCCGCTCCACAAGAACAACCTGCACCTGCTGCTGCTGCTGCACCTGCTAAACCCGCTGATGAACCAAAGAAGATGGGTGAATACACCTTGGCCGAAGTTGCTAAGCACAACAAGCCTGATGATTGTTGGGTGGTTGTCAATGGTGAGGTACTCAATGTCACTGATTTTATGGCGGAACACCCTGGTGGTAAGAAGGCAATCCTACTTTACGCTGGTCGTGACGCAACAGAAGAATTCAACATGCTGCATAAGAAGGATGTCGTCAAAAAGTATGCTCCTTATGCTATCATTGGTACCCTTAAGAAGTAGATTTGCTCTCTCCACCCACACCCCCCAAAATGTATTCCACTGCTCTCTTTTTGCAAATAAACCCAATCGTTTACTATTAGTCAGATGAAAAACAACCGAAAATAGTTGAGCTGCACAACAATGGTGTATGTTTATATGTACAAATTTATTCCAGCAAGGTCAACTTGGGCATGTTGAGAAGAGTAATTCCTTTTACAGGGTCACAATCAAAGTTCCAGTGTTTCCAATGATTCACTTTGCCTTGACAGGGGTAACAGAGTGCACAAAACTTGGTACGGAAGCCTTCGCACATCTTGCGACCATTACGCAAATTATCCAGCATATCGTACATGGTACCACCAATCGCCTCTGGATCACCAAAGTCACCAAAATGCTTTGCAATCATGTCCTCCTCGCATACATCGATTTGTTGTATCCGTGCATCCAAGATGGGCTCCACTTGATAGGGGAATAGCCATACTCCAAGATTCTGATCCTCATTTTTGACAAAGATACGAGGTCCTCGAGCAATCAGGTGTACAAGATCTCGTGATATGATGTAAAGTGCGCCTGCTGTGTATCGTGGAAACAATGGCAATGGATAATCAAATTCACTGTTCTTGTTGCTGTTATCTCGAATGGGTGGAATGTTCCTATTCAACCACATCATAAGTCATCCAAATGCAAGATAATCCATCCTCCCGCCTTTTAGCTTACCAATAACTTAAACCTTGCCAATATCGTGTTTGCACACCCAAATCCAAGAGCTCCTTGGTGATTGTATCCCATCGAATAAAGATATCATCATCGGTTTTGACGAGGTAATCAAACTCGTATTGCTCTGCCCATTCCATTGTGCTGAATACTTTTTTGCTGAGGTCTTCATACTTATCAGAGCAATTGAGGAGAAGCACATCACCATGCGTATCCATCTCAGCTTGTATTTGGGGCCACATGGTCTCTCGCACTTTGTCTGAAGCTGGTTGACCCATGATGAAGCGATAAAAGTAAGCGATGTTGTCATTGTTCTCGGGCATGAGTTGCATGGTTGTTTCCCGAAACACTTGTCGTTTGGTGAGACTTTTGGGTGTCCAAGCGGATAAAACAAAGACCATGACACGAATTCCAGCCTCTGCCATTTCAGGATGCTTTTGTACATTGTCGGGCATCTTTGCTGATGATAATGCATTGACAGCATGGGAGATACTGTTGCTGCGTAAATAGCTGACTTGACGCAAGATGGCGAGCATTGTGAATACAACGACAATAAACAGAGGAAGGACCAAGACACGGACAACGGTGGATTTGTGATTGATGGCCTTTCTACTGTATTTGGGATTGGAGGCAAGGAGGATCTTGAATACGTTGCAAACCAATAAGATAAAGCACATGGTCATCCATTGCCACATGGGTTGATCGGCTCCATAGTAAGATGAGAAGAAAGCATACACCGACCAGTGGATCACTGTAAGTGTTGCTAGTCGCACCAACGCATTGCTGATTTCATAGTGGTACAACCATCTTCGCATCATACTTGTTGTCAAGATCCAACTCCAATAGCCAGCCAGCACACACTATACATACAAGTTAATATCTATATCCTCCCTCCCAATTGTAGTAGTACTACTACTATGAGGTTGACTTACCCAAAGTATAGCGACACAATAGGTAAGAGGAGTGCTCTTGTTTTCAAAGATACCAGTCTCATCATATTGCGGCTGTGTCCATGCTCGATTGATACATTGTAAGAGGCCAATCCCGGCGGGTATAAGACTGAGCAACCTTAAGAGTATGATGGGGAGATGAAAGCGTCGAGGTACATTGAGCGATGACAAGGACAATGCACGTTGCCGAAAGGAAGGGAGACCATGCGGCTATAAATGACGATCGTGTTGTTTTAGGATACAATAAAAAGGACGCATGCTGTTGGTTTTTACCGTAGCCATGGTGGAGATGGGGGTTGGGTTGGCGGATCGGGTGGATGCAACAGGGAAAAACGAGCGGTGCCAGTGTGAAAAGCCTTCTTTTGGGTACGGCCACAGACCATTAAACTCCTTCTTCTTTATCAACCTATATCAGTGTCTTTAAATCCTAGTTGCATGAGTGCATTCCAATCTAGTATCCATGCTGCCCTGAAGATCATGCAATAAAAACATCTTTACGATTCTATTACTGCAATCATTGTAATTCCTGATCCATATGAAGCTATTGGGACACCCAACAAAACTTGATCCATAGAATGATGATACATGAAATGATACATGACGTATAAAGGTGGATAAGATAGGATTGTATTAGGATAACAAGATGTATCATGTGTATGTGTGTGCGTGTGTGTGTGCATGTGTTGTGTGGTCAAAGACACGGTCTTCCGAACAAATCCTCCTCCTCCCTTTCCTATTTACTATGCTAGGCCGTACTAGCCCTGTGCTATCCTATTTTTGTGTCTATAACCCATCGCTCGCTCAGAATGAAGAAAACACAAAGGATCAGATTCTATACTACACTGCAAAGACCGTCGTTCCAGCCGATGTCAAGATGAAGCAAGTGGGTCTTGCTCAAGCTCTAGTCAACTTTAGCTCGTAAGCACTTTCCTTCAATTGCACTTTTATATACTCATTGCAGCTATTTCTAGGGCTTTCTCTCCGTCGCAACCAGCACAAAACGTACACGCGCAAAAACATCGACTTATCTTCCTGCAACCTGAACCAGGATTTTGGATACACATGTGCGTGGAGCTCGGCATTCTACGTAAGCAAGTCAAGGATAGCAAGGGCAAGGAGAAGCTGGTGACCGAATATTTGGATGCTCAGTTGAATGATCATGCATTGGAAGCTGTGCTACGTATTGGCTATGAACAATTTCGACTCTTGAATGGCACCATGGCATCCATTTTAACCAATGCCGCTCGTCGTTCCACGCTCATGCATCGTATCGAGGAGTTTTTCTCCGAGTGGATTTGGAAATGGGACTTTGACAGACTTGATACCATCGTTTTCTCGGGTGTATTCAATGGCGTCCCTGTTCAACCTTTGCAGCGTCAAAATTATTTACGGATTCAAGACCTTGATAAGATTATCCAAACAAAGACAAGATTTATTTCACACATGATGGCTTGGGATAATCAAGGAGGATTGGTATATCGTTCATCGGGCTTGGAGATGCAAGATGTGGTCGCTCTTCGCAAATGGATCTGTCAGGGGCAACAACAACGTGATAAAGAGAATCAACAACAACAACAACAACAACAACTTGTTAGCAGTAAATCATTAACGACACACAATGCTGCCAACACATTCAAATCATTCACTCGCTCATTGTCCCATTACTTTTCATCATCCGCACCTACTTCCCCTGAAGAACGACCATCCTCGCCTGAAAATGATTCACCCTCCTCAGATGCAAGTGGTACGGTGGAAGATGTTGTACGAGTCCATTTGAAAAGCCGGTCTGGCCAAGAGCAACAAGAAGCACAAGGTGAAGAAGAGCTTGAGGAATACTTTTTGCTTGTATACAAAGTAAGTAGTAGGGGTTGGCTTTATTTGTTGACAAGGATGGGCTAACAAAGATAAGCACAAGAGCGATCTCTTATGGTGTTTCTTATTACCCGCTTTCGCAGAGGGTGCAGAGGAATGGTTGGCAGATCCAGCATCCATGGTTCAACTTGAGAATGCCTTGGTGGAAGGAGATATTGACGATCTTACCACAATCATTGTCGAGAACAAAGAAAGTACAAATGAAAAGAGGTAAATGCTTGGACAACAAAAAAAGGCGCATTGCATTCATTGTTGCTTTGATGTTCAAGTAGTATGGCTCTGGGAAAACATTATCGGTGCTTTTATTACGACAATGCGACGCTCAATATCAAATCGACTTTGATGGATCAACGCAAAGATACGTTTACAGTGAACAATGACATGCTATTACAGCTGCTGGATATCAAGAATGACTTTGAGGCGTAAGTGATGTTGCGTTTATAATGTCCCATTTATTGATCATGCCCACGTGTAGCATCCCCAATACGAGTGAAGTTTATACAAGATCAACTACCAATTATTGGATTGCTGGTCGACGTGTATACAACCGGTTAGCCATTCGACAGCAGCAGATGCAAGCGTCTAATACCGATGATCATCAAGAACCGCCTACCGAAGATGAGGAAGAAGAGGATCATTATGATGAAGGTGTTATGAGTGATTATGTGGAAATGTATCTTGTGGCAGCCAAAAAGGATACTTCACTGGCCGATGTAGAAGGTAATGATGCACCCATCCCACTCATGTCCGTATGTTAATTAACACGTTCATTAGAAACCATGCGCAAAATGGCATCTTCGGTCGTTGATACCATGCGTATCGAGTAAAATGCAAATCTATCATTCGAGCTTTTATGTACATATTTTAGTGCCATCTACATTATAAAATATCCATTATATTGTCTTCGTCGATCGAATTGGAACTTGTTTCATTCTCTGCCTTGTCATGGATGCCATCGGTGGTGGTATCATCTTTTGCCGTAGTTGACGTTATCATGGCATCTGTTTTTCGTTGGTGGAAAGCAATCCAGCCATCACGTCGTGGCGCATCCCGCTTTGTCCATCTATATACAAGCATCCATGTTAGCATTAAACCGCCATCTTCCTTTTCTTTGGGGGAAACTTACAAATCCAGTAGGCGTCCTCGTCCTAGTTCCTCATTGTAACCAGCTTTGGGTAATAGTGTCTCAATCATATCGTATACGGCTGCTGGTTTTGGCTCCGTGAATTCATGTTGGATCCATTGTGATGCTGGTTGCTCGAAATCGATGATAACATCTGGTGATCGTTGATGTCGCAGCTCAAAGCCATCGCCCTAATATCTTTATGAGTAACACGGCAAATCACTTCCATATTGGATCTTACCTTTCTAAAGATAAGTAGGATTTCCTTGGAGGAGCTGATATAGGGGCTTGGTTGATCCACGGGTATGTTGTTGACGTACTTTTTGAACCACACCAGATTCTCGACATAGCGGCAGTCTTCATAAAAGATGCATTAGAAGAATATCACATTCAATAAACAACCTTGTAAACATACCCAGTTCATCCATTAATCGCACAACGTCGGCTTGTAATAGCTTGTGTGTCCAAACGAATACTAGGCCTGCTGTCATCCGTGTCAAGACCTTCTTCATAAGCCTCATCTAAAGAGAACAAGACAATGAGCCATTGAATAAACCCAAATCAAGGAATGAATGCATACCATGTCCTTGAGTGTCCATGAACATCGACCATCATTTCTTCCATCCTTGACATAAAAGTCCCATGGTGGATCGGCAAGAATCCCTTCTAATGGTGATGATCCTTTTCCAGAAGGTTCCTGGTTGGCAGGGCCGAGCAATGCTTCGAGGATGGTGGGACATTCGGCCATATCATCGAGTTCGCAGTAATAGGATCGTCCATTCTCGGGAATAGATGGTCTAGCTTGGTCCAATCCAAGAGGTTTGACGTGATGCACACCGCTAAAAAGCTCATTGGGTATAACAACTTTGGAAATGAGGTCATCAGGGGTGTCTTGCTTGGGTTTCTTGACGCCCGTAAAGAACATGGATAAGTTGGATTGACGAACAGTGGTCGGCTTCTCTTCAGGTAACGCTGTCTTGAGTGCAGCCGTCTTTTTTGCCACCAGCCTATATTGTCTATGTGAGCAAAAAACGAGAGAAAAAGGAACAAGATAAAAAAAAGACTTACATTTCAGTGGTAGTTAATCCTCGACGCCATTCCTGTTTAGCTCTCCAATATTCATGTCGTTTGATGGGATCCAGGAACGGTTGCATGAAGTTGTTGTATGCTTCCAAGCGTTCTCGAAGCTCCTTTTCATAGTCGTGCTTTCGAACGTGCAAATTGGCGTGTTCTGGTTCCTGAGTGCTTAAAAAGACATCCATTGCATCTTCATCGTCTTCGTCATCATCAAATACAAAGAGGGGTTGGCGTGGAGGAGGCATCTTTTTGACCATGTCGCTGATAGGTTTTCTGGTAGCTGGTGTTTTTGGCGCACGTGGAGTTGTTGTGGGTAGTCGAGTGCGTATAGCGGATGTTGATGCTGTGCCGCTTCGACGATGATATTCCTTCAGCCATCGATCCACATTGCGTTCGATCTCCTTGACTTCCTCTGTTTCCCATTCGTCTCCAAGTTTGGATGAAACGGGCGTTCCTGATATGCTGCGATCCTTGTGGATTTGCTTCAACTTGCCATCGACCATAGCGTAGGAAGGATCAACGATCTTTTTATCGCCCACCAGCTTTCTGTAATAGTTCATGCACTGATATCCAACACGATGCGGAATCTTTTGGCTGAATAATCCCCATGCGTATCCAATCTTCCATCCCTTTGCAATCCATTCATGGTATCGATCCATAAAGCACTTGTGCTCTGAAGCTGTCCATCCACCATTTCGTTGGCCCTCACCAGGTACTATGATCAATCACTTGTAAGTATCCTTCCCTATGTAATCGATAACAAGGATAGTACATACCAACAAAGCGGAAATAGTAACCTTCCGGATTCTAGGACCATGTCCCCATCAGTCACTAAGGCACTTGAGAGCCATCCATCCAATGCCACTTACCACATAGCGTGATTCCCAAGCCTTGATACGTGACATTTGCCATGTCTTGACACATGATTCTGAAAACACATCCTCGCCCACTTTGCGCTTGGTAGGTATTGGCTTTGAGACTGCTAGTGCTTTGAGCTGCTTTGTCGCTTCATCCTCGCTGGTGTCCATATGGGTGCCATTGCTACGCTTCGTCATGGGATCAGCTGGTGTGTGAGATTGGAATATATCCTCGTCGCAATCCAATTCGATTACTGATGATCTCCTTTCCATCTTAACATCTGTCGTTGTAGTAGCACGTTGTGGGGTAGTCGCAATTGGATCATCATCAAAGTCAGGCCATGAGTCCATGTCGTCATAGTCTGTAGCATCATCGTGACCCTCGTTCTTCAAGTCGTTTGCTGCTGTGGCATTGTGCTGTGGCTGCTCTTTATCATGATATTGCTGTTCAACACGGTCCAATTGTTGCCAGAATGCTGTGTCGTTCATTGCATCGTCTATCATCAAGTAGTTGTCCTCGTCTTCTTCTTCATCCTTAACAATACGTCGCTTGGGTGCCTCGTCAAGTTGCTCGGATGGACTCAAAGACTATCCAGTGTTCCTCGTGTTAGCAACATATTGCTTTTGACAGTGGCTTTCTATGTACCTTGGAATCGCTTTGGATCGAGTCATTGCGATCGTTGTGTGTTGTCTGCAATTTGCGTTTCTTGGAAAGAGAGAGACTGATCGGCTTTCGTGGAGTTGAATCGGACGATCGAGAAGAAGAAAACATGAACAAGTCGTCATCCATGTCGAGGTATAGAATAAAAACGAGAGAAGAGGAGGAGGAAAAGGTAAACTGGGATCAAAATTACAGGCACGCATCTTTACACGAAACGCGTTGGCTGCAAAAAAACGCGTCGGGTAAATTCATTCCTTCATATCGTCGCGTACTGCAATCCATGACATAGACCTAGCTAGCATACCATTAGTGCAATGAATGATTTGAATGTGATAAAGGCATGGTGTCCAAAATTGTGTTCTTGATGATCTTGGGGTTATTCATGACTACAAGTAAGAAGATCCATCAGTTACCATCACGTTTCATGGGGGAGGTCATGTAATGATGGGCCTTTTATATTGAAAATAGAATGATCGACAACCTTAAAAGGACATGATGGAGCGTTGTATAGTAGCCATCAGCATCCAGGCGTCTTTAAAATGTCAATAAACAATAAATTTTTCCATCATTTTCCTTATCATTGCATATAACACATAGATGAGATCAACGTATTTTTATAGCTATCATTTGCCTTATCTATGATTTGACTATCTGGATATGCATTTGCACCCATATCAGTGAACATAATGGTGGTGGTGGTATACTCTTGGGCTAAGGGATGATAGCCTTGATTGGGTGGGTCTGCATAAGAAGCCGATTGTCGGGAAACGTGACTTTAAGACTCCAAAACAATTTCTTGGGTTTGGCAGGCCTTTACTTCTTCGCTTGTCAACATGCCACGTTCTGCCTGGAAGGGTCCCTTTTTCGTCGCTTTCCCTGGTCTTCGAGAAGCCATTAAGAATGGCACTCCCATTGCCACTCAAGGTAACTCTTGATCCGTCATGCCGATTGTTGGAGGAAGCACTAAACCTGGATTCATTCATATAGCTCGAAGCTGCACCATTCTCCCTTCCTTTGTCGGTCTCAAATTCCTTGTTCACAACGGCAAAGACTACATGCCAGTTCACATTACCGAAGACATGATCGGCCACAAGCTTGGCGAATTTTCCTTTACCCGCAAACGGTTCACCTATCGTTTCACCAAAAACAAATAAAACGAGAATTCAAAGTCGACAAGAAGCGTTTCCAGGCAACAACAACATGATTGTATATAGGGTCTATATGTTTATACATGTGATACGTTCTATTTGAGAGGAGATGGGGAATATGTTTCTATTGGGAGTATGATACACAATGAAATGGGTGGGTTTCTATGGACATGGTTCATTATCGTCTTCAAATTCAATCAGGACCTGCCCGGTTTGAACAGCGCTGCCTTGCCGTACATGAACATTTTTGACAGTACCGACACGTGATGTTCGCAATACATTCTGCATCTTCATAGCCTCCACCACTGCCACTTCAGCTCCTGCCAACACCTGCATAGATTTCATCAATATCAAATCTAACCGAATCCAATCCTTTAACGTTTTACCTTGTCACCCTTTTGAACAGCCACACTAATCACACGTCCAGGCATTGGGCTGGCTACCATCTTGCTTTCTTGCTCCTTCGTTTTTGGCTTCATGTACTTTGATAATTCACGTTGACGATCATTCAGGATAGCTACTTTGAACTAGACTCGTTGTTAGCTCATTTATCTTCAATCCCTTAAATATACATACCTTGTCACCACGATACTGCATCCTGAAGCCAAAGGGTAAACTATCCAAATATTGCACCACGACATCTTGCTCCGTTTCTTTGATGGAGGCATAAGCCAAGAGATCATCGAGTGGCCATTGTGTTGATAAGGATAGCTTTTCAAACATTGGAGAGGATACCTTGATTGAAGCATATAAGCATCATCACTTTTAACCCTCCCTCCAAATTCACAACATACCTCAAAAGCATCTTTCCCAGTCATACGTATTGAAAGCATCACTTCATCCATGCAACCATTTTGCTCATTTGTCAGCTGGACCCAAATGTTTCTTGGTGTCGTGATAAGATCGGACACGTTGGCTTCCTTCTTGGACCACATGGCAGCATTCACCGCAGCTAATTGGTGTAATTCGGGTGTTGCTAATCGAGCACTTTGATATCCATTCGGGTATTCCTCGGCTAAAAAGTTGGTGGTGATTGCTTTGCCCTGACGAAATCTTGGATGGTCCACCACGCTTTGTAACAACGGCAGATTGTGTGTAACCCCTTTGATGACATACTCATCCAACGCTTTCACCATGGTATCAATCGCCTCGTCACGTGTTTCTCCATAGGTGGTCAACTTGCAAAGCAGTGGATCATACTCGACAGGGATATCCGATCCTTCCTTAATACCTGAATCGCATCGGATGTTGGGGCTGGTGGATGATCGTGGTTCACGGTAAGTCAATAAACGGCCCACGGATGGTAAATAGCGTGTGGGATCCTCCGCATAAACGCGTGATTCAATAGCCCATCCACGACATTCAATGTCTTGTTGCTGCAAGGGCAATGGATGACCTGCTGCGGCATATAACATGTGCTCCACAATATCGAGACTGGTGACATATTCTGTAACTGGATGTTCCACTTGAAGGCGCGTGTTCATTTCAAGGAAATAGAAATTGCGTTCATTGTCCACCAAAAATTCAACTGTGCCTGCAGAGCTGTAACCCACGTGACGTGCCAATGCAACAGCTTGAGCACCCATCTTATGCCATGTCTCTGAATCAATGTGTACACTCGGCGACTCCTCGATGACCTTTTGATTGCGTCGTTGAATGGAGCATTCACGTGGAGGTAAATAAACGACGTTGCCATGGTTATCACCCAGGATTTGAATCTCGATATGGCGTGGTTGATCAATGTATTTCTCCAATAGCATACGATCATCACCAAAGGCTGATTTGGATTCTTGTTTGGCCAACTTGAACCCTTCCACAAGCTCCTGATCATTCCTAGTTTGATATCATGAATATCCAAACCTTTATATGTACCATAAAGAGGTCATATACATACCATGCAATACGCATTCCTTTTCCTCCCCCACCTGCACTGGCTTTGATCATGACAGGGTATCCAATATCATTTGCCACCTTGATGGCATCCATTGTGGTGTCCACTTGCCCATTGTATCCAGGGATGCAATTCACTTCACTGGCCTCCGCAATCAACTTGCTTTGAATCTTGTCACCCATAGCAGCGATAGCTTCACTCGAGGGTCCCACAAATGTGATCCCATTTTCTCGTAAGGCCTTGACAAATGCTGGGTTTTCACTGAGAAATCCATAACCAGGATGAACAGCTTGTGCGCCCGATTGTTTGACAGCTTGGATCATACGTGGAATGTCAAGATAGGATTGTGGCTCGCCAATACAGATAGCTTCATCAGCCATTTGGACATGAGGTGCATTCGCATCAAGATCAGAATAAACGGCCACCGTACGAATGTTCATCCGACGAGCAGTCTTGATGATACGACACGCAATTTCTCCACGGTTGGCAATAAGGAGCTTGTCGAATGTCTATCATAAATAAACAATATAAGCATCATCCCCCCAACTCTTTATTATAACGTGTGTACTTACCGGCTTGACAGTGGCTGAACCTGCTTTTAAACGAGAGTCTGTTGCTGCTGATCGTTGGACATTGTGACAAGATAGCAATCGTAGCGAGGTCCTCGGAAGAAGACGACTTGGGCTATTGCACAATCGAGGTCGGCATGGTGCTGTTCTTATGGAATGTGACATTAGCCACGGGATCCTCGGCAACTGTTTTGCGACATGGAGAGACCGAGACATGGCATGAGAGAAAGAAAAGAGAATGGAAGCAGTGTGGTGTGGGAAATTGAATTATACACACACAAGAAGGACCCCCTCCACCCCACCCAATATAGCACGAGATTACACAAGATTCTCCGTCAAATGACAGCTCTGCATGATGATGATGCAAGATGATGTATTTACAAATCGTTATTTTATCATGTTCATTTACATGGTTGATAGCCAGTTTATGCGGCACCATCCTTCTTGGCAACGTAAGCTACGTGGCATAGTGAGTATCATGGTTTGTTGTTATAATACAAAAGTAATGGATGACTTACCAACGAGATCAACGACACGGCATGAGTATCCGAATTCGTTATCGTACCAGCTGACAAGCTGCAATAGGCATGATTAGATCATAGGATACGTATAGAGATGCAATAATAAACCACATACCTTGACAAAGTTGTCATTCAAAGCAATACCAGCTTCAGCATCAAAGATGCTTGAGCGATCGTCACCAATGAAATCGCTCGAGACAACCATATCCTCGGTGTATCCAAGGATACCCTTGAGAGATCCTTCAGACGCCTTCTTGAGAGCAGCCTTGATTTGATCATAGCTAGCAGGCTAACAAGTTATGCGTGTGTTTTAGTATACTTCATCAATGAGAGAACATGATACATACCTTTGAGAGACGTGCTGTCAAATCAACAACAGAGACATCGGGGACAGGCACACGGAATGCCATACCAGTGAGCTTGCCATTGAGATCTGGGATGACCTTGCCGACAGCTTTGAAAGATATATAAGTATGCATATACAGTGGTAGGAGTAGTAATAATGTTACCTTTAGCTGCACCAGTGCTAGCAGGAATGATGTTGGGGTTGTTACCACGACCCGAACGCCAATCCTTGTGGGAAGGACCATCGACAGTCTTTTGGGTAGCAGTGGTAGCATGAATAGTGCTCATGAGAGCTTCAGTGATACCAAACTCATCGTGGATGGCTTTGGCCAAGGGAGCAAGGCAGTTTGTGGTACACGAAGCGTTGGAGATGACCTTGTATTCAGGCTTGTAGGCATCCAAGTTGACACCACACACAAACATGGGAGCATCCTTGGAAGGAGCACTAATGATCACACGCTTGGCACCTCCCTTCAAATGGGCTTCAGCCTTCTCGGTGGTTGTAAAGACACCTGTGCTTTCAACAATGTACTCGGCACCATCCTTGCCCCATGGGATATCAGAGGGCTCCTTCTCATTGTGCACCGAAATAGCATGGCCGTTCACCACAAGCTTTCCATTCTTGGCTTCAACAGTACCAGGGAATTTGCCGTGGACTGTATCATACTTCAACATGTACACCATATAGTCGAGTGGGATGAAGGGATCATTCACAGCAACTACTTGGGTGTTGCTATCCTTTTTCAAAAGAGATGCACGCAAGACAATGCGGCCGATACGACCGAAACTGCATATGCAATGTAAGACACAGCAATCATGATTATACAATGGATACTCTACCCGTTGATTCCAACTTTGACAGCCATGTTGAATAAAGAATGAGAAAAAGACTTGTTATGACAGGGTATCCCCCATCCACAGCCTGCTTTATATTAACAAGGACCCTTGTTTTTTGTTTCACTTTTGTAACAATGATGTTTGCGAGTGCATGTTGCCCTTGCTAATCGCCTCATCATCATTGTATCATCATTGCTTGAAAAGTATCCTTTTCCACATGCAGTATTTTCAACGAATTGCGTCAACAAAGATGGATCCTTAAAGTTGATATTGATGTCGGATCCTAACGTGGTTCAAATGTTGTTTGTATCAAGTCAAAAGATCATCATAGTTTCAGTCAGTGCCAGCGACTACCATAAACCCCTCTAATACTTGGATCATTAACAATTTGCCGAGTGCCTTGGTTTCAAAGTTAGTCTAGACTTTTCAAAAGCGCAAATCACGTGTGATGATGGATCCATTATCTCAATCAGTGCATGGGTGTTGCTATTAGGTCATTGTTCACAAACGGGTGTCATGGATATGGATACAAAGACATGTATTGTAATATGCAAAAAGAGAATGATATATTTTTATGTGTATGTGCTAATTTACTCCTCGTCATCATCTTCATCGTGCTCGCGAAATCGTGGATTCTATTGAGTAAAAGCGTTCGAGTACGTTAATGCATGTGGTATGTCAACCATGAATGCCCTATATAAATACCTGTTCCTTTGTTCGTTTACTGCGCTCACCATCCACATCGTCATCTCGATCACGTTTACGTGACGCTATCCATATCAACCATTATTAACCCATCGCATTAAAAGGAGGACGAATGACTACTTACCCATATCCTGTTGTCGACTTTTGTATTCATCTGCACCCTGTGGAATGTCCTTGATGGGTTCATAGGTTGCCTTGAGTTTTTGTTCACGCTCGCGCTCCAAAGCCAAACGCATGCGATGACCCCATCCACCACGACCTGCATCAAATTCGGTACGATACTCATCACGCACTTGACCACCACTTCGACCACGTCCAAATTGTCGACCTTCCTTGAATCCAGGATCCAAATCACAGCGAATAATTCGTTCATCCAACTTGGTGCCATTGATGTATTTCATGCAATCAAGTGCATCTGCACGATGATAGTATCTGGCAAAGGATGTCATCAATGGTCGTCGTCTTTTTGTTTGAAGCGAATAGAGGAGGAACCCACACACTTACTCGACAAAGCAAAAACCACAAGGAGTCTTGTTGTTACGATCCAGACCCATGATAATACGCTTGATTTCACCGCATTTTGAAAAGAGTTCATAGATCTGTTCTTCGGTTGTATAGAATGAGAGATTGCCAACGTACAGGGTTGCTGTTGTTGATAGATCGTCGCGGAATTGGTTTGAAGATCCCTATGACAAAGATATCAATAAAGCGAATGCATTGAATAGGTGTAAGTTTCCTACCTGATATTGCTGGTCACGGTATGTGGAAGGAACGGCGAGTGAAGTGACAATAGACGTCATAGTGAGAGTGTGTGTAATAAAGAAGCAAGAGGGAAGGAGAACGCGTTGGGAGGAGGATCATGTGGGACATGCTATTGGATAATCAAACTCAGCGATGGGTATATAAAGGGGAGTCACCTTTGAAGTTTTTTGTTTTCTCTTTAGCCTCAATTAATGAGTAAGGATTGATATAGGCGTCGGGTGACACCGATGCATTTACTTTTAATCCAATTTTTTCCACTCACAGGCATGGCCTTTGAATAAGAAGCCTTGGCCATATCGGCTGGCTCTCTTGTTCATTGATTGCTAGCCTCCCATATCCAACAACAAAAAGAAAATGATAATAGATATAGATATATATATACAATGTGTATTTGATATACGATGCTTAACTAGTAGTAGGGGTAGTAGTACTGGTGGTGATGATGTTTTCAGGTTGGGTGGCAGTAGTAATAGTAGTGGTAGTGGGAGGAGTGGTAGTAGTAGAAGTGGTAGTAGGGGTGGATCCAGCAGCAGCAGCAGAAGCTTGCTCGTTTTCAATTTTGAATTCTCGCCACCAGTAATAGACTTGTGCTTGAGTGATGTTGGTGTTGGGGAATTGTTGCTGAACATCTGTGTATATATCTCTCGCTGTTCTTCCACGCAATTCCTCCCTTCGTATTAATTCTCGAATCTCAGGTGGCGTTTTGCGTGATGGTTCTGGTAACTCATGCCTCATCCCATGCTGGAGTAATACATAGACGTGTCTTGAGATGCGATCAATGGTGGCAGAGATACGTCCTTTGCAATCGAATCGTTTCCTTTGTTTCGTATGACGCCGTCGTGCCGTGGTTGATACGGCGGATGCTTTGGCAGTAGCGAGCGATTGTGAACAATTGGCATAGAAACTGGCAACCCCTTTCCTTGCTGTAGAAGGATTCACTGTTTTGAGAATATATCGGTATCCATCGCATTCACCCAATGTGGCGCATAATCGCTTGGCAAGATCGGTATCCGTGTGTGCTAGCCATGTATCATCCAGCATGATTCGTACTTCATAGCAATACTCTTCTTGTTGGTGTGCTGTTGCTGCCACAAAATGTTCATGCAACGTCGCCAGAGGTACCAAAGGGACACTGCTTAGCTCTTGCTTTTGTTGCTGCTGCTGCTGCGATTGTCCATCCAACGTCGAGGACCCGTCTCGCTTTCGTTTACGATTATTTCTGCATCGATCGCACGTCTTGTAGCTCCGTGTGGGATCTGGAACCTAACCGATTTAGACCATTTTCCCTCGCTTTGGCTTTTGACATCTACCTTGGAAATGGCTGCTGTCGCGTGTCTGCAAACAATTGGAACAAACTTGTTGCATGTGTAAAGAAAAGGAAAACGTGGAATAGCTGCTCACCTAAATGGATCACCAGTAGGCGGCGTTTCTATCAGACAAATCACCCAAGCTTTCTCATCCATGCATCATCCACATCCTATGAGCCAACAAGCTAGAGAATATAGAGAGTCAATGCTTGCCATCATTATGTAATCATAGTTTGCATTTGATAAAGTTGTATACTGTAGCCATTTTTATAAACCAATGTTGTCTAATGTGTATACTTGTTGGTTCGCTTTTGTTATGCTGCATTTCTATTGGAGTCCTTCAAGCTTGTCATGTAAAGCAAAGGATGCATCACGTCGTCTACAAGGATCCCTAGTCTATTTCCATCGGGATGTCTATGGCCGACTTTGCTGACAGCAATTGGTTATATAGGAAGCAGTGCCCGGATTAGTAATGCATAGCTAATGCGTTGTCTATTGCCAGGGAATATGCATCACGGGCCCTTGTGCGATCGAATTTTCATTGTGATGGATGAATGATCCACTTGCAAATTGATGTAAATGAGCCTAGAATCACTGCAACCGGTTGTCCGGCAACTACTAGAGCGATGTTCTTCATTGTGGATTGTTCATCCAAAGCTGTTGAATATATAGTAGCACTCTTTAAGCCCCCTTAAGCATATATTTCAAGGTCTTCAATTACAAATGAGGTTGGTTGCTATGACTGCATTCATTTTTGAGGCACATTGTGTGGCCGAGATCATGGATAGGAGGAGTAAGCTATTATTAGAAAGAGCCAATTTGAACCAAGATTTGACCGGGCAAGGTTGTATACTCATGAGCAGTATACCAATGCTCTTTTCTTTATTCCATGTATAACCAGCGTACTCATAAAATCAAACAAAAGAGCTATGGTTCTCTCGACACTGGGTTGTAAATACAATCAATGATAGATGGAGGGGCCACGGGACATCAACGTGGTTGTTGTCACACAAGAATGGGATCACGGCGGCAGGCTACTACTACTACTCCGAAGCTGGTTCTACCGGAAACACTACTCCACCGATCTTCTTTCCGTTCACTACACACAACACATGTGGGTTCCATTGGTATCGCTCTGCTCTATCTTTTGGGGATTGGCATCTGCATCTGGTGTCAAGAACTTAGTGGTCTTTGGTGATTCGTATGCTGGTGAGTAGTCAACAACACAAGAGCGACTTTATGCACGTTGACTGATGGGTTCCAAAGATGTCGGCAACTTGCAACGATTGAGCAATGGACCTTTTTGGAGCGAGGATTTGGCAGTGGGTTGGAATGCGAGCTTATACAGCTTTGCCTTTGACGGTGCTGTTTGCGACAATGCCCTCTTCAACGATACCAGTGACGACGACGCTTTGCCGAGTATTGTCGATCAGATTGAAATGTATTACAACCAGCAACTCAACCTTGAGCCAAGCGAAACAGTATATGCGTTTTGGGTCGGCTTGAATGACATCGAGCGAGGCTTTCAATCCAAAGGCACAGAGTTTCCTTGGGGTGATATCATCAGCTGCATTAGTCATCAAATGGTATGAAATCGCATTCATTCAACTTGGCATGTCTCATCTCTCTCTCTCTCACACACACATTTCCATCAGCGTAACATCCGCAAGGTGTTTTCCAGCAATCGATTCCTAGTCTTGAATGTACCACCCGTGGAATTGATGCCTTATTTTGCTGGGTCGGATATGGAAGACACGCGTAGCAACATTGTCAGCAAGTTTAATGAGCTATTATCCAAGGATGTGGTCAGTCTCAACAAGCACCATCGGGCTCTGGAAATGGATTTGGTCGATGTGAATGCATTGATTAGCGACATGGTTGGTAACCCCGAGGACTTTGGATTCAAGAACGCAACCAGTGCATATTGGGATGTATGTCAAGGACAATGTACGGATGATATGGATACCTATGTTTGGTGGGATAGCATTCATTTGACAGGAGGTAACGAGGATTATGCAAAAGAGTGTGGGGATGATGTGCTCATTGCTATCTTTAAGGTGCCCATCGAGCTATTGCCAACAGCATTTTGTTGTCTGGATCACTTGAGCCACCCGTATCACTGCCATCAAGTGACCAAGTTGAACAAGCATTGTCGTCAAATGATCTTCATCGTTCACCAAAGTATTCTCCAGAGAAAAGCACCGGCACGATTGAAAAGGTTGTGAAGGAAATCATGGCAGCCAAGGAAACCGAGGAACCAACACCCGAGGTTGAAGAGCAAGTAGAGGAGGATTCATCGTTCAGTCATATCTATTTTGTGATTATGGTCTCAGTGATTCTCTGCATTGGATTTGTGTGGTTCACTCGACGACAAAAACGCGCTGGTGGCCTTGCAGCACTCTCAAGTCTTGTCAAAACCAACACTGGACGTGGTCGATTTATGCCGTTGCGTAACTTGGAATCCAGTAACGTGTGATCCATTTCCTTTGTTCCATAATGCATATTCACCCATCACCAAGTTTAGCATTTCCCCTCCTTTAAACACCATTCATACATGTATACACACACACACACACGCACGCACACACATACACACTCATTATACACATATCCATATCATGAGAATACACTTAATAGAGATGATCATTGTTTCTCACACTATTAGTGCCACTGATCAGATGTCATGGTGGATCCAGACCAAATCCCTTTGTTTGTCGTACATACGACGCCCTACACGCACAGACGATAGCACAGCACCATGATTGACAATCCTTTGAATGCTTGTATTACCATCATCAACCATAGCTTATATGCTAGCAATATGGATTTGATACCCACTGAGAGTAGTAGAGATAACAATGTAATGAATAGAGTGAGCTGCTTCGAAACAGAGTAAAAGGCACCAAGCAATATTTGAAACATGATGTCGTTATGTCTTTTTATTCGCGTTGCTCGCGTGCCAATGCATGTACAATTTTCGCGCTTTCTTTCTCTTCTTTAAACCAATCATGGATCTTAATGATGACTTTGACTTGTCCGAGTTTTTGATTTTGGATGGAGAAGACGACACGTATACGTCGCCATGTGGCGGGGAACCACAAAAACCTGTTGTAGCGGCATTTTCACCATTGACACCTCCTGGGACGCCATTTGACATCCATATCGCTGACATCAAGAAGGAAGAAGAAAAATCAAATGATTGTCCATGGCCATCCACATGGGACGCTGCGTCTGACATGATCCACAATCATCATTTGCAACAACAGCCAGCAGGCACCACCAGTGACACGGTATGTCCGCTGTCAATCATGCTATCACCACCCACAAGTAGTTCAAGTACCAGCTACTCGACACCACCATACCTGCACAAGCAGGACCAAAAGGAATCAATCCGCCTTTTCCCCGATCTTCCAAATGGCGTGAAAACCAAAACGATAAAGATTCCCAGTTGTCAGCGTGATGCTATCAAGCGTGTTTGTCCTAAGGTTGCTACACCACCACCTATCAAAAAACCTCGCAACATCCGCACCCCAACATCCTATGACACCAAAACAAGCGAATTCTTGAAAAGAATGTTCTTTGAGACTTATGTACAGAACAAGAAGCTTACCAAAGAACAGCGACAAAAGATCATTGAGCGAACGGACCTCGACTCTCGAAAGATTACGTATTGGTTTTCAAACCATAAACGTCGATCCAAGGATCAACTCGAGACCTATGCTCGTTTATTACGACAAGGAACCATCACAACGTACGATGAATTTGTGCAATTTTGCAAGGACCATGACGTACCAGGCTTCCAACCACAATCCAACACGCAGACTACATTGTAGTTTTTCTCTCAATTTCCCTTCGATTGTATTTCTAAAAAGAATCCCATCTCAAAAAGTTGCCAATCATGTCCCCCTTTTTTCTCGACCTTGTGAACAAAAAAGTCCCCCCCCAATATCCTTATCTCCTTTGAAGGCCATACTACCCACATACTTTTGTTACTTTAGCAGCCAACTTGTACTTTAGCACATTTTACTTCCACCAATACCATGCATGTGTGAATGCTTTTTGAACATGTTCACGTCCCGGTTTATATACAATGATGAATGAATTGGTAATGATATCATATGATGTGTAGAAAAAAAGGATGTGTGTGTGTGTGTGTGATCAAGCGAGGAGTTCCTTCCATTCTTCATCAACCAATCCAAGGTGTTCCTTTCCAAAGGTATCTGCAGCCTTCTTTGCACGAGTCTTGAAGTCTGCTGGTACATTGCCATTTGCCTGTTTCAAAAGGGTATGGGCTGTTCGCAATACCTATAATAGTATATCCCTGATGTCAGATCCTGTGCGTGCCTAAATGTCCGCTCTCTCTCTCTCGATTTACCTTTTCTGCCATATCCTCATCTTCAGGGTACTTGTCAAGTACGTTGTTCAAATATTCCCAAATGTCCGTTTTCAATAATGCTTCGCCAAACTTGGCATTGTCAATCATCAACGAGTTGAACATGAATACAACCTTGCGTAGCATAGCTGGATCTGAAAAATGGATCCACTCCAAGGTGAGACCGATGTTGCCAATAAACCATCCACCATCCACTGCTACTTACCATCAGCAAGTTTGAGGATATCAAGAAGAACTGGGAGACCATTCTTATCGAGGAAAGCATCAATGGCAGGAGGGCTGTGTTTCAAGACACCGGAAAGAGCGTAAATGAGTTTGCCCTTGACTTGCTTATCTTGTTCCGTTTTCAAGAGATCCAAAAGAGCATCCAATCCTTTGTGTGAAATAAACTATGCTTTTTGTGTCAATATGGGAATGATCTCGTCTATTGATCCACTTACTGCTGTTTGTGCTTTTGGATTGTTTTGTACGGCGGTACCGCATACCCATGCAACACCTTTACGGATTTCAGGCTCGGGAGCTGTCAGCTGACCAAGTAATGCAGGCCACAAGTTCATTGCCTCGATATCTACACGATCATTCAATACTCCATCACCAAACGTTGTGAAAGGATCATTGACTTACTGTTTGCGTTATCGATGCCTTCTATAAGCTGTGCGTAGAACTCTTCATTAGTCATCTACATACATACATACATACATACAACCCATATCATCCATAATGGTTCTCCTCACTTACAAGCTCCAAGTTGTCTAGTGCAATCTCTCTGTTCTCGAGGGTGTCTTCGGTATTGGCGATGCATTCCACAGCCTCTAATTGGGGGGTATCGATATTCAGTCAACAAGGTCATCGATGTCGATGGGTGGGGGGGTGGGTTTATCGATGAGAACTACCTTTCATACGCGT